CATGGGGACGAGGTAGCCCAGGTGACCCATCGCGGGGATGGAACCCCCTTGTTGAGCCCCCCCTCATCATTTCTCATCCCTCTGCAGAGCGAGTTTCGGCTGGGGGTCCGGTTTTACTCGGAGGAGCAGCCGGCTGCCGCCATCCTGCACCTGGAGAAGGCCCTGGAGGAGTATTTCGTGGCAGACGCCGAGTGCCGCGCGCTCTGCGAGGGACCCTACGACTACGAGGGCTACAACTACCTGGAGTACAATGCAGACCTTTTCCAGGCCATCACAGGTGCGAGCTCTGCCTGCTGTGTCCTGTCACAAGAGCTGGGGACAGTTCTCAGTGGGCAGTTGGTTCCCAAAGACCTGAGGGGTGGTGGGTCCCTGAAGAGGGCAAACGCCATCCCGGGTTTTACTTGGAGAAGTGTGGCCAGTAAGTGGCAGGAGGTGTTTGCCTGCACTCAGCACTCGGGGTGATGCTCAAGAATCCTCCAAATTCCAAGGGAATATGGAAAAACAGGAGAGGGACCAGCAGAGGGTCACCAGGATGGGAGGCCAGAGATGGCCACTCTGCCCCCAGAGAGCAGCACAGTTCCCCCCCCCCCCATCACTTAGAGGTGGACAACCAACCACCAAAAATCTGGCAAACAGCCCCAGTGCGAGCAGAAGGTTGGAGACCCCTCAGGGTCCTGCCCACCAGCCTGTGGGTGACCATGAGCAGTGACATGGGTTTTTTTTTCTCTACCAGACCACTCCATGCAGGTGCTAAGCTGCAAGCAGGGCTGTGTCACAGAGCTGGCCTCACAGCCTGGCCGGGAGAAGCCTCTGGAGGATTTCCTGCCCTCGCACTTCAACTACCTGCAGTTTGCCTACTACAACAGTAAGCAGCTTCTATGGGCTGTCAGGGCTGGGCACCCAGCTCTGGGCAGGCTGAAATCATGGATCCACAGAGTGGTTGGGTTGGGAAGGGACCTTCAAAGGTCGTCTCGTCAGTCCAGCCCAAGATGCAGCGACATCTTGGCATTGGTCACTCCGAGGTCTCTCACTGCCCCATCCAACTTGCCTTGGAACACTTCCAGGGATGGGGCAGCCACAGCTTGTCTGTGCAGCCTGTGCCAGTGCCTCACCAGCCTCATCATAAAAAATTTCCTCCTTATGGTCGACCTAACCCTGCCCTCCTTCAGTTTAAGACCGTTGCTCCTTGTCCTGTCACTAAAAGCCTTGGTAAAAGTTGTTCTCATATCTCTTGTAGCCCCTTCTAGATATGGGAAGGCCATAAGATCTCCCAGGAGCCTTCCCATCTCCAGGTTCAACAACCTAAATTTTTTCAGCCTTTCTTCCTAGATATGCTCGTCCTCTAACCATTTTTGTGGCCTCCTCTGGACCCACTCAAAGGGGTCCACTCACACCCCTTCTTGTGCTGGGGACCCCAGAGCTGGAGGCAGCACTGCAGGGGTCTCATCAGAGAAGAGCAGAGGGGCAGAATCCCCCTTCACCTGCTGCCCACAATGCAGCCCAGGACTTGAGGGGTTTCTGGGTTACTGTGGCCAGGTCCTGTCCAATTTTTCATCCAGCAGTATCTCCAAGTCCTTCACAGGCTGCTCTAATCCCACCCATGCCCCTGTCTTCACTCATAGTGGTGGAGAAGCTTCCACCAGACCTTGTTGTACTTGTGAGGTTCACACAGGCATGCTCCTCCTGCCTGAAATGTTCTGCAGGACATTTGGATCAGTCACCCTCCACATTGCTTTATTCCCGGGCAGTTTTGCTTTCCAAGTGAAATAACAGCCTGGAGAAGTATTTTTTTCCCTCCTGCCTGCTGTCTACCTCTTGCTTCAAACCACAGTGGTGTGCTTCCCTGCCAGAAGAGTTATAACCCAGGCAAATACATCTGATTTTTATTTCATTTTTTAATTCGCCTCCTTAGAAAAATTAAACTGTTTCTGTGCAAATTTCTTCAAAGGGAGGGGAAAAAAATATGGCATCCAAGAAGATGGAAATCCTCGAGAAGAGACAGCTGAGAGGGGACTTCATCCATGTCTGTCAGTATCTGCAGGGTGGGTGTCAGAGGATGGACCAGGCTCTGCTCGGTGGTGCTGAGCAATAGGACAAGAGGCAGGAACTGATGCACAGGAAGTTTCACCTGGATATGAGGAAGAACTTCACTGTGCAGGTGACCACGTGCTGGGACAGATTGCCCAGAGAGGGTGTGGGGTCTCCCTCACTGGAGATGTTCCAGAACCATCCGGATGCAATCCTGTGCCAGGATGCTGAAGCAGGGAGGTTGGACCAGATGACCCAGTGTGGTCCCTTCCTTTGCTTCCCCAGTTTGTGACTGTGTGATTCTGTGAAAGGCTGCACAGAAGTGGGGCAGGGTGCTTCAGTGGCTGGAAATTGCAGGTTAGCGAGGAATGGTTGGGTCTGACTGCCTGGAAATGGGGCCTCGGGAATTTTCCCAAGCAAGAAAAGTACTCAATCTGTGACCCTGGTTTCTGGAGGCAGGAGAGCACCTCGGATTCTGAATTTTGCCTTTGTGGCAGCAGTTATCCTTGCTCCAGGGGATCTGCCCTGCTTGTGAGACTCTTTGCAGGACAACAAGGATTTTGTCTCTCATCTCTCTTTCCATATCCGTGTTTGCTCTGCCTCCAAGTGCCCTTGGACATGCTGTTAAACAGCCCCACTTTCCCTTTGCAGATGGGAATTACGAAAAAGCCATCGAATGTGCCAAAACCTACTTGCTCTTCTTCCCACATGATGAGGTGATGAACCAGAATTTGGCCTATTACACTGCTGTCCTGGGGGAAAACCTGGCGAGACCCATCCAACCCCGAGAGGTGAGCAATCAGCTGAGACATCTTCTCTCCTCCTTGGGGACCTTTGCGGAAGTTTTGGGGTCTTCTCTGGTCCAGCCACCCAAGGTGGACAGTAATGGATGGTTTTAGGGTTCAACAAGCTGGAAAACAGCTGAGAGACTGAAAATCATCACTGGCAAAATATCTTTGGCCAAGTGAAGCTGGATGATTGGCACACGTGGACCCACTCCTCAGAGAGGCCTTTTAGGAGGGGCTGAGCACACCTCTGCTGCACCCTTCCACAACTGAAGTGAAATTGCTTAAGAAGGAGAGGATTTGGCTTCAAAATAGCTGGATCTGGATGACCAGTTCCTGCCTGGGATGTGGTAGGCAGGAATGGAGGTCTCTGCCCCACACCAGCTGGAGCAGGGAAGGAGATCTGCTCCTAAAGAGCTTCCTGCAGGAGGGACATGTGTGTGCCTCTGCTGGACTGTCCTCTCCCGAGTCATCCACACAGGACAGGGAAATTCAGGCAGGATGGGGAAAGCCACTTCCTTCCCAGCTGCCAGAGGGAACAGGAAACCAGGGCTATAGGTCTGGAGCAAGGACCACAGGAATGGTGTAAACCTGCACCTTCCTGCCCGTTCTCAGGGTCCTTTGGAGCCCTCGTGCTGTACCTCACCCCTTCCCTGTGCCCCCTTGCCACAGGAGATCCGGGTGTACCGCCAGCAGAGCCTGATGGAGAAGGAGCTGCTCTTCTTCAGCTACGATGTCTTTGGCATCCCTTTCGTGGACCCGGTGGGTGGTGTGAGACCAAGGGGACACGGTGGCCAGGTGGAATGTGGATGAGGGGGTCTGCATCCTGGCCAGATCCTTGTCCAGCTCCTGACGCTGTTCTTCTGGCTGCAGGACACGTGGACACCTGAAGAGGTGATACCCAAAAGGCTGCGAGAGAAACAGAAGTGAGTGCTGTCCCTGGTGGGGGTCCAACAGGACATACCCCTCTTCCTCTGGGGGGTTTGGGCCAAAGGCCATGGCACAGAGCTGCTGCCAGGGAAGGTGTTGATACTGGGGATGGAAAAAGCTGCTGGAGGGCAGAACTTTGCTCCCCATCAGCCCATGGGATGATGGGCACCCCAAGCACCACAGGGTGAGGGATGCAGTGGAGTGACTCTCTCTAGTCTTGGGCTTTGTCACCAGCCCCTGAGACAACTTGTTGGTGCCTCTCGTTCCTGACGTGGTGGGGACAGTGGGATGGTGGGGCTGATGGCTACCACGTGCCCAGGGCAGAGCGGGAGACGGCGGCACGCATCTCGGAGGAGATTGGCAACCTCATGAAGGAGATCGAGACGCTGGTGGAGGAGAAGGCCAAGGAGTCTGCTGACATGAGCAAGTTCATCCGAGAAGGTGCAGAGCAGGGGAGGTGGGATGGGGACCTCCGTGACCCCTGCTGCCAGTCCCTCCATACGTGGGTGGCAGCAGGAGCAGGTGGCAGGACCACAGCTTCCCCCAGGGTTGGTGGTGCTCATCCCCCACGTCCCCCAATCCCTTTTGTGCCCCAGGTGGCCCCTTGGGGTACGAAGGAGCCAGTGTCACCATGAACTCCAGGGCCCTGAACGGCTCCCAGCGTGTGGTGGTGGATGGAGTCCTCTCTGCCGAGGAGTGTCGGGAGCTGCAGAGGCTCACTAACGTGAGTGTGGGGATGGGAGGGGCGGGCAGGGGTCGCAGCTCAGACCAGTAACACCCATGGGGTTTTGCAGGCAGCTGCCTCAGCTGGGGACGGCTACCGGGGGAAGACCTCTCCTCACACCCCCAGCGAGACCTTCTACGGCGTGACCGTCCTCAAGGCCCTCAAGGTTGGGGTGGATTTGGGGAGAAACGGGCTGTGGGGGCGAGAGGTGGGAGTTTGGGGGCAGGCCCTGCACAGGCTGAGCCCCTGTGCTGCCTGTCCCCCTGTAGCTGGGCCAGGAGGGCAAGGTGCCCCTGCGCAGTGCCCACCTGTACTACAACGTGACGGAGAAGGTGCGGCGCATGATGGAGTCCTATTTCCGCCTGGAGGCCCCGCTCCACTTCTCCTACTCCCACCTCGTGTGCCGCACGGCCATCGACGGTGAGCACGGCCCAGGGGAGCGGCTCTGCTCCTCTCAGGTCCCCTCCAACAGCTGGAATTGGTCTGGTCTTGGACTTTTTTCCTTGGAGACCTCCTTGCTGCTCCCTAACTGTCTCCTCTACCTGGGAGGGTGTGGGAAGCTTGTCCCTTAAAGCCCAGTTCAGGAAGATGAGCAGCAGCTCTCTTGGTTGCCTCCAGTGGGGCAGATGGCTTCATGCCATACAGGATTTCAGCACTCAGAGGCATTTGGGATGGGTGCTGGGAGAGGCTGTGCCTGGAAGGCCAGGGAATGCCACGGGACAAGCCAGGAGAGGCTTGTGCCACCCGAATGGCCTCGCATGGTCCACACTCCAGCAAGTTAAGTGCTTTAGGCTGCACATGACTTTCTTGTCACCTCCAAGCCTGGGATGCTTGGGGAGGGACCCTGCTCTTGCACAGACAGAGGGGTCCTGATATCCCAGGTCTCGTTCCACCCTAGAGAAGCAAGAAGGTCGGAGCGACAACAGCCACGAGGTGCACGTGGACAACTGCATCCTCAATGCAGAGGCTCTGGTGTGCGTGAAGGAACCCCCAGCCTACACATTCCGGGATTACAGGTACTGGTGGTGGCTGTCAGCTGAAAGTACCACAGCTCAGTGGCACCTAGGCTGGGAGGAGCCAGGTGGGAGGACATCAAACCTGGGCTCTCCTGCCTCAGGCTCTTGCTGTGGGTGTTGGGGGAGCTCTGGGCTCACCTGCTTGCTGGAGCTGTGGTCAGGGGTTGTTAGTTACCTCCACTTGTCCCCTGCTCCCTTTTTAGTGCCATCCTTTATCTCAATGGAGACTTTGAAGGAGGAGCTTTCTACTTCACTGAGCTGGATGCCAAGACGCAGACCGTGAGTAGCTCAGCTCCGAGGATCCACGTGCAGCTCCTTCCTGCTGGCCCTGTCCCCTGGGAACACCCCCTGGGCCACTGCAAAAGATGAACTGGGGTTGAAGGGGACTGACTTGCTCATGATGGGGGTCTCCCACCCTTGGCAGGCGGAGGTCCAGCCACAGTGTGGCCGTGCCGTGGGCTTCTCCTCCGGCTCAGAGAACCCCCACGGGGTGAAGGCCGTGACCAAGGGCCAGCGCTGCGCCATCGCCCTCTGGTTCACCCTGGACCCTCGGCACAGCGAGCGGGTGAGCTCCCTCCCAGCAGCACGGGGGGGTTTTGAGTGGGACACTGGCCATGCTCACCCCCCCGTGGGTCTGCCTGCAGGAGCGTGTGCAGGCAGATGACCTGGTGAAGATGCTTTTTGGCGTGGAAGAGGGAGATTTGGAGCCGGAGCAGGAGCCACCCGCTGCCGTTGTGGTGGGGAAGGACGAGCTGTGATGTCCCATGGGGACCAGGATGTCCCTGCCGGGACCAGTGACACCAGCATGGCAGCTTCGGGCTGCTCAGTCATCAGGGTGACTTATGGGACCCCCCTCTGCCCCTAACCCGTGTGGGATGGGGCATTGGGGAATGCCCTGCACTGCCCCTGCACCATCCAGCATCCCCCCATGGAGCTGACCTGGGATGTGACAGAGGCTCAGAGGGGTGCCATGGGGACAAGGGAGGGGTGCTGTGTTAGGGGTGAGGCCCCAGTGCCACAGGTGCAATTGTGTGCCTTTCCTGAGCCTGTGGCTATTTAAGTGCCTTCTGCAGAAAATGGGTGAATAAAGCTATTTTTTTTCTAAGCTGTCGCTGGCTGGAGTCTGCTGCCCCCCCTTTGGCTGCCATCAGTGTTGGGGTGCAGCCTTTCCTCCTGGCAAACATTTACTGAAGGGTGTTGTAGCCCTGCAACCCCACAAAGGTGTTTTTGGGGGGGGACAAGGTGCCCCAGGGGCAGCAGGGGCAGTGCAGCCCTCAGCTGAGCATCCCCTGGACCCCACTCCTGCAGCGTGGGCAGAGACCCTCCATTCCAAGGAGGAGGGAACCGTCCTTGAACAAGAAGGACATTGAGCACTCTGGCACCCCCGGACAGGGCATCGAATTGTTCCCGCGGGTGTCTGGCCATTACCATAACCATCCCGGGAATGCGGGCAAATAAATCCTGCCCCGCTGCACCAGGACCCAGCACCCCCATCCCGCTGGGAGAGGGCGTAGGGCAGGGCCCGTTCAGCATCAGGGTGGGCGAGGGGGGGGTCTGGGGTAGGTTTCTGCAGGATGAAGAGATGGTCCCACTGGAGGGTGCCCACCATCCCCGCGGCTGACCCCGGCTGCCTGGGCGTGAGCAGACTGCTGATGAGGCCAGGGCTGTTAACCATTGCCAGGTCCTGGGGCTGCCACGGGCTTGGTGTCACCGGGGTGGTGGCACGTGTCCCCCCCCTACACCCCGTGTCCCCCTCCTGCAGGGGGACACCGCTGACAATGGTGTCTTTTGTTGGTGCCACGGTGGGTGGCGTGGTGTGCCCAAATTCCCTCACTGAATGAACCCCTTCCCCGCTCCCTGTCGAATTCCTGGAGCCACCCCCGGAGCCTCTGTGGCTGGGGGGGGGGCTCCCAGCCCACGGCAGGGGTGCAGAGGGTCATGGATTTGGGGGGGGGGAGGGGTCACCTCCTCCACACCCCCTTCCCCTCTTCCCGTTGGGGACCCCCATTTTCCCATATCCCTCCACTGTGGAGTCCCCATCTCCCTCAAGACCCAAATATCTC